AAAAAAAGGAATGTAAAAGTTTTTGCGTTTTAATTAAAAAAAACGGGACAAGTAATAACAACAATTAGAAAAGAATGAAATTGTAAAATTTTTTTTTTTTTTTTTTTTTTTTTGTTGAAATCGACAAATCTTTCTCTCTATTTTGTTTTTTTTTTTAGACGAATTACGTACAACTCATATACAAAGAGGTTAGTAGAATATGAAAAGTAAAGAAAAAAAAGAAAAGGAAAAAAAAAAAGAAAAATAAACCGCAAAGGTTGGATGGTTACGTTATATTTTGAATAATTACGGGACTATCATCATTATTTCGTCTTGTGCAATAATAAATCAAGTTACAAAATGGTATTTGGTAAAAATTCGCGGTTTGAAATGATCTTTAGGTTTTTTTTTTTCATGTAATGCTTGGTGTGTGTTATGTTTGCTAGGAAAATTCCTAACGCTAAATACAAAGAGGAGGTCGATTGTTCATTACTATAAAAGTAAAAAATCATTTTTTTTTTTGAAACTAATATTTGTGAAAAACATAAGAAAAAAAAATTTAACAATATGAAAACGGGACTCACATTACTCGTGTGAATTTTCTGATGGCGGCGAAGATTACTAACAACTGAGAAATGACGACCACATCCCTCAATTGGACATTTAAAGGCTGAATTGATTTTAAAAAAGTTAAATGATGATGATAAGAAAGTCAATTATGAACAATAATTTAAATCATGCGTTTTATAATTAAATCATCAGTCGTTTGTGGAACGCATACAGAAAAGGAAAAAAAGATGATCAAAACAAAATCCCAATTAGAAAGATGACAAAATGCATTTGAGAAGATTATACGATTTAAACAAACTTACGTTTTTCTCCAGTGTGACTATACATATGTGTCTGCAAAGAACTTGGTCTAGTGAACCTTTTTTGACAAATATTACACTTGTACCTTTTTGGAGTTGAGGAAACGGTCTTCGAACTGAAGGTGGTCATCATGGCTTGAGGCGTTGGGACGGCTGAAGGCCTTTGTTGTCCTGGTGATGACTTTGGAGTGTTCCCATTTGAGCTAGGTGGCAATCCCAAGTTATTACCATTGGAGTACCTTCCCATCGAGATAGGATAATCTTGTGGCGTTGGTGGCAATCCTGGCGGAAAGCCGGTCCCGTGATGCTGCATGCCATTTCGATCATAACCTACAGATCCTTGTCCGTAATAAGTCATCGAAGAAGTAGTTGGACCGTTAGGTTTTATCATTGAAGGATCACTAAAGAAAGTGGGATCTATAGCCCTTTCATCAAAACCTTTAGGTTGTTTTCCGGATTGATAAGAAGAGAATGGGGGTGACCCATTCCAATTTTCGGAATTTGCATCACCTGTAGTAGTTTCTATATAAATTTTTTTTAAAAAAAAATTTATGAGAAAATGAATAATTAAAGAACATATTGAAGAGGAAAAAAAAAATATATTTATAAGATGCTTACCATTTCCAGGAGTAAGGTAGGCCGTAGTGGTGGGTGCTGTAGATGCGGGATACGAAGCTGAAGCATATCTAACCGAATAATTTTTTTTGAATAAGTTATAAAGAGGGAGAAAGAAGAGGGAAGAGAGGGAGGGGGGGGGGGAAGAAAGTAATTGTTGTAATGGGGTATAACAATAATAACAAAATCGATTGATCTCAAAATCGTAACTTATTAATATTATACATACGTTGTAGGAGTGGAAGGATATGCTTCGTGGCTTCCATGACCTCCACTAATAGTCACCGGTTTGGTATCATGTAATTCACTTGAGAATGAAGGGGGAGAAGAAGTTGTAACTTGAGAATTTTCTGTCATTATTCCGTCTAAGTTAGTCGAATCGTAAGGGTCTATGCGAGGAGAAGGATAATCAGTTGCAGGAATATAAATATCTGATTGATGAATTTGTTCCTGTTGTGATTGAAAAACTTTATGATGCGGTGAACTATTATTGTTGCAAGCGTGTTGTTGAGCGTAAGCTATAGCAACTGCTTCTGTAGGAGAAGAGGGAGAAGGTGGAGATTGGTCAAAAAGATTAGAGGTCAATATAGTTGATGGTATAGCTTGTTGATATTGTAATTGATATTGATTTAATTGATATTGAGACGGTGAACAGTTATATAAAGAATCAAAAGACGTTAAGTTGTAAAGAGAATTCATAATGAGAAAAAGCGAAACCGAAAATTCGAATAATAAATAAAAAAAAAAAAACAAAATAGGAAAAAGTGAAACGGTTTTTGTTGAGTTGAAAAAAATAAAAATAAAAAATAAGAAA